AGTTTGATTAGACATAGATTTTGCGCATTTTATTTTATTTTGCTTGGTGACTTACTTTGTTCTGTCTGTTACTACTTTGAACCACTTAAATCCTACTGTCTGTATTTAATAAAATCACTTTTTATTTAGTAATTTACTCAGAGTATGTATTAATACCTGGGGGAGCAAACAACTGTGCATATCTCTCTATCAGTGTTATAGAGGGCGAACAATTTATGAGTTTGCCCTGCATAAGCTTTATGCAGGGCAAAACAGATTTATCTGGGTTTAGACCCCATTGGGAGTTGGGCATCTGAGTGCTAAAGACAAGCACGCTACTGCGAGCTGTTTTCAGGTAAACTTGCAGCTTGGGGACAAGTGATTCAGACCCTGGGTCTGTGTTGGAGCCAGACAGGAGTGTCTGGCTCAGCAAGACAGGGTGCTGGTGTCCTGAGCTGGCAGGGAAAACAGGAGCAGAAGTAGTCTTGGCACATCGGCTGGCAGCTCCCAAGGGGGTTTCTGTGATCCAACCCGTCACAGTATGTAGTTGTGGTTGTTCAATGGGCATTTAAAATCTGCAAGCTGCTTTGAAAATTTCAGCCTTCCTGCTGCGGGGTGTTGAGTTAACCGCCCGTACGTGGGCATCTGATGCTGTTAAATGCTTATTCTTGTTTGACTGCAAGTCTAATTGTTAGGGCTTTTTCTATTTGTTTTTTATACTTTAATTTATATCCAAATAAATATTCCTTTACAACAACCCAGGCTCTTGTCGACTCCTGCCATTAATCTGCAATTGGAGGGAGAACAAGGGACTCGAAAATGTAGACAGTCCGAAGGGAAATGAGGGACATGCAGGTACCTCCCCCTTTTCAAGCTGTTTGCCATTTATCCACACGCCTTGCCCTTCACTCAAGCCAGAAAGCGAAGGCTGCAACCTCATCAGGCTGAAGTTCTGATAATCAGGCCATTTGCTGTCTTTTATGCAAACAGTGCAATGCATATTAATCAACAACTACACTGCAGCATTTGCATGAAGTCTCCAGCTTTCTGGACCGGCATCAGCTGTTAAAAGGCATAAACTCCTCGTCCCGCGTGAGCTGCTGACCTGGCAGCTACATCGGAGTCGATTTCAGGCAGTGAATTTGGCTAGAGCTCATGGGAAATCAGCCAGCAGAAGATATGACGCAATGCAGCCTCAGCTGGGAAGGGAGCTGCTGGCCTTTGATAGCTGCTTCTGCCCTTCCGCTGAGCAGATGGTTGAGTTCAGCTGGCAAAAGAAAAGCAGGAAGGGCTAGAAAGCAGAATCAGATGATCAAAGCCCGCAGGACAACAGCATCAGCCAATTGTCCACCAGATGGAGATGGGGAGAAATGACCTCCCTGTCCCTTCCCCCTACCCACGCACCCACTGGAAGGGAATATAGAAACAGCATGATCTAGTGGGTAGGGGCATTGGCAGGAGTCTCAAGAAACTGTAGGTTCTGGTCCTGACTCCTATCTAAGGCCTACCCATTCTTCCCCCGTTTCACAGCACCCTCAGGAAGGAAATCCAGTAGCTAGGGCATGGGACAGGTAATCAAGTCACATATGTTCCATTCCCAGCTCTGATGGGATACTGCCAAGGGGTGTGACCTTGGGCACGGTGCTTCTCTGCTCTGGGCCTCTGTTTCCCCTCCTAGCCTGTGCCTGTCTTGACTATTTTCAATGGTAAGCTTTTGGGGCAAGGACTGTCTCTCGCTGTGTGTCTGTGCAGCACCCGGCACAACGGGGCCCTGATCTCAGCTGGGACAGGGACTGTCTCTCGCTGTGTGTCTGTGCAGCGCCCGGCACAATGGGGCCCTGATCTCAGCTGGGGCAGGGACTGTCGCTCCCTGTGTGTCTGTGCAGTGCCTGGCACAACGGGGCCCTGATCTCAGCTGGGGCAGGGACCGTCTCTCCCTGTGTGTCTGAGCAGCGCCTGGCACAACGGGGCCCTGATCTCAGCTGGGGCAGGGACTGTCTCTCTCTGTGTGTCTGTGCAGTGCCTGGCACAACGGGGCCCTGATCTCAGCTGGGGCAGGGACTGTCTCTCTCTGTGTGTCTGTGCAGCGCCCGGCACAATTTTAAAAATATTTGCTACTTTGAAACCAGAAAATGTTCAATAAAAAACAACAACGATGAAAATCATTCAAAAACCCCCCAAATGATGAAATGCGGAAAAATTGCCCTTTTTAAGCTCTATCTTGGCACAGGCTGATACGCAATCGAAAGCCAATAGCCTCAGCGCAGGCGCAGCCCTGGATCAGGTCCTACTTTGTAGCTGATGTTTTCCCACAAGCAGAACGGTGCAGGGTGAAGGGGTCTCACAGATGCTGCCCCTCGGATGAGAACCTGCCCAAGGGTGGGAGGCAGGGAGAAGTGAACGGGAGAGAGCTCCTATCTAGGGCTTTTCATCTGTAGATCACAAGGCGCTTTACAGGAGGCCAGTATCGTTATCCCCATTTGACAGATGGGGAAACTGAGGCACGAGGCGGGGACATTGACTTGCCCAGGGTCACCCAGCAGACCCATGACAGAGCTGGGAATAGAGCCCAGGTCTCTGGAGCCAAAGGCTCGTGGTATTGGAGCTCACTGGAAGCACGTGCTGCCCTCCCGCTCAGCCGCTGGGGGAGGGGCCATGACAGAAGGGGGCGTGGCCAGAGCACTCTGCACGTCAGGCTGTGAAGTTGCTCTAAGTTACAGCACCCCCGAGGCTGCTCTAACTTATCCTGGGGTATGCGCCAGCCCCCAGAGCAGCCCAGAACCTGGGAGGTGCAAGGGCAGCTAAGACCGGCACAGGCAGCCTGCATCTCTCTTATTTGTAGATAGCCAGAGGCTGGTTTGGTCCATTTCACAGATCACGGCCATCCTCACTTGTACCCCTTCTGGGGCATCCCTGGGGAGGAGCAAAATCACCATAGCCCCTCCCATTTCCAGCCTTCTCTGCTCCAGCCACCCATCCCTGCTGCACCCCATGGCCATGCCCCCTACTAGCCCTACCCTCGTCCAGCCCCTAACCCTGCTCCCCCAAATCCCCCATAGCCATGCCCTTCCCTCTTCCACCCTGCCCCACCCCCTGTGCTGGGGTATTCCTCGGTGTCGCAGAGTAACAGGGAGCCCATCCCTATGGAGGGATGGGAGTCAGTCTATATCCCACAGTATGAGCATGTGGGGAGAGAATACAGGGGCAACACTGCCCCCCACTCCAGCTGCTGGCTGAGAGATGCAGGACCTGGGACCCATTGCTGCAGACAGTCCGGGGGGGGATAGACTCCGCCGGGGGCGAGGATACTGCATGCTCCTGGGATGCAGAGCAGTGCTTCTCAAGGACCGGTCCGTGGACCGGTGCCGGTTCCTGAGATCTCCCTGACACAGTTTAGGAAGGCAGCAAGCCGGTGCCTGGTATCAAAAAGGTTGAGAAACACTGAAGGAGCCTCCCTGTCAGAGCAGGGCTTGCGGGGAGGAGATGGGAGGGGCTGTGGTGACACATTGCACCAGCCATTGGGCAGCTGTCAACATGCCACTGGCTGAGTCAGCAGCCGGAGAGGCGGGGTGAAAAGAAATTGACCAGTCCAGACTCACACCCTTCTGCATCGCAAAGGGGATGGTGCTCTCTCTGCACCTCCAAATGGGGCAAGCTGGGGCTTGTACACTTTGATCTGGCCAAGAGGAGTCTCCGCCGGTTTATTTTTCGGCATGTAGAGGATTATTGGGGAATTGCTGCTCCGCCAGCCAGGTGAGTATTGGCACCAGCGATGAGCCAGATCCCCGGCTGGTGTAGACAGACCTAAGTGGGGCTACACCGGATTGACACGGCAGCTGGGGAGCTCATGGAGCTGGGGAGATGGAATGTTGATTTTGATTATGCCACTGAAAGCGCTGGTTGTTCGTCTGGATGAAGAGGACAATGAGGGGGGGACCTGCCCTGGTTGCTACATCCCGGATTCCGGAGCCCATGGGAAGCGCGGAGTGGGAAGGAGGCCAGGCTGGTGCCTCTGCCTGGAATTGGCGCCCTGAGTCTGACACAGAGACACCCAGCCGGAGAAGCACTGAGGATGCTGGGACCAGGGAGCCATGGAGGTAACACCCCATCTCCTTCCTTTTTGCACCCCACGTTCTCTATTTACATTCTTCTTCGGGGCCCCATTTCAACCCCCTTCCTGGGGTCGGGAAGGGCGGCCTTGCGGTGAGGGCACTGGCCTGGGGATCTCGGTTCAAATACCACCTGTGCTAGCAACTTCCTGGGTGACCTTGGGTGAAGGCACTTAAACTCTGCATGGCCCAGGTCTTCCCCCTCCCTGCTAGGAAATAATCCTGCCTTTGTCTGTCTAGGGGGACCAGATGTCCTGCTTTTATAGAGACAGTCCCGATATCTGGGGCTTTGTCTTATAAAGGCCCCTATTATCCCCCACCCCCGTCTTGATTTTTCACACTTGCTGTCTGGTCACCCTAATCTACGCCCCAGTCCTCCGAACAATTACACCCTTTACACTAGCTGGGGATCATGGCTCCTAAAGGCAATCACGGATGTAAGTATCCGAGGGGTAGCCGTGTTAGTCTGAATCTGTAAAAAGCAACAGAGGGTCCTGTGGCACCTTTAAGACTAACAGAAGTATTGGGAGCATAAGCTTTCGTGGGTACGAACCTCACTTCTTCAGATGCAAGGGGCCTTAGACTATAAACTCTTCAGGTCCAGCTATACAAACCCTTGCCCAATGGGGCCCCAGCCCTAGCTGCAATATCATTTCTACTGTAATATAAATAATAACGAATGGGCAACTGCACCGCTGCGCCGTCACGTTGGCACTGAAAGGGTTACGTTTCTGGGCTGCCTTCCAAGAAGTTTTCCCCTTTAAATCCTCCTCCTGCTGCATTAGGGGAACCAAATGTCTCTTTCAAGCCAAAAGAGGATCAAGTTACGACGGGGGGGG